AAATGCGTTATATGGAAGCGATGCTTGGGAACAAGAGAGTCATTTTCCCATCTCTCCCAACACTGTTTGCATGTTATAAGCCAGGAAACTCCATAAAACGGTATATTAAAATGATAGATATGGCTATTAAATGTTTGGGTTTCTCAAGTTATTTCTATACAGCGTTACATGGATTTTCTAACATTTACACCAATTTGTTTCAAAAGTTTTTCTGTTGACGGTAAGCAGCAGTTGGAAAAAAAAAATAACATATGCATTCATTTTATTAAAATTTTCTAACTTAAATTTATTTTAAAGAATTTATTTCGTCAAGTTTTTAATATTTTTATTTATTTATTTATTTATTTAGAGTATGAATTGTAATAATGTTCTTTGAACCAGCAAAATTGGTTTATCTCATCTAAACAAAAAAAGAAAAAAAAGAAAAGAAAAAAACAACCAAAAAAATATAAATTTCATTCAGAAAACCTTAAAATATCTGCAGTTCTGTTTGTTATTGTTATTTTAAAGAAAATTCTATAAATGTTTGAGTTTTTAGGATGTTCTGAAAAGAGAACATCATGATTGTGTTTATATACGCTTTAAATAAAAATAATGATTATAAAAAACCAATTTGTTTTACAAAACAAAGTTGTATTTTTCAGTTACTTAATTTTGACAATTATTCTTGCAAGATTTTTAAAATAGAGGGGGACATTTTATGAAGTTTGAACGGAAGACATGCTAGATAGCATATTTCGTGTAACCCTTATCGAAATACATTGTTTTATTATTGATATATTTAGTTTTTGCACATTGCAGATTCGTTAAACGAAGAAACCATAAGTAGAATGAAAAATTAAAATATTTTGTCTTGCAGTATACTTTTGACTTCACTATTTAAAAAAAGAATAAATTACACTAATATGAATAGTACAATAACCTGTTACTTTCCTGGCTTTTATGTATACATAACAAGGGAAATCGAAATTGAATCGTGTCTTATTTGACCCTCCGAGATTTTTTGCAAATCTCCACGTTTTGAGACCTCCCGAACCATTTTTTTTTTAAATGAAACTCATCACTACCCTCGAAATTAAGCTTTTTCCCATTTTATTACAATTAGTAATATAAAACAGTTTTTATAACAAAACCTTATAACAGATGGCATCACACACAATTTGATTTATTTATTATGCATAATAATATAAAAGTTATTTTTTAAATAAAATCTCATAACAGCCGGGAAAGTTACGCAACTTGCTGCTAGATTTTTTAAAATAAAAGTATATTTTGGAATGCAATTAAATTCATAAATATTCTAAATTTTATTAGTAAAGAAACTGTTTTAATAGGTTTGTTTTGGTAAGATGCTGAAACGCAACAACATGGGCGGCTTCCAAAGGAATGCCTTTCTATAAGAAAACTTAGTTGTTAGTTATGTGGATAAAATCCGGAAAACTTCACGTAGCCAGCACGTTGGTCAGACACGAACTCGCGACCAGTGTTCAATGGTTGTATCTACTCAACCACTGATAGGCATCTGGAATCGAATCCAAGCGAATACCTTCAGGAAAATTTTGAATGGTCTATCCAGGATACGTCGGACTCCATCTCTCTTCCCCATTATTTGATATGAATATTTGTTTTTCTTTTATTAAATAATAAGTTGCAATTTTTATAATATCCTTTTCTTGTGAATTAGTTTCAACAGGAACGTTCCTTTGTCTCCAAGCAAAAAACTTCCGTAATAAAAAATTAACAAACTTACAGCAAGTGATGTCATTTTTAATTGATCGATAGAACGTCTTAAAACTAATATTAAACAAAAAAGACACATGGTTAAGCAAATTATTAGAATAGAACAGAAAAGATTAATTAGCGGATAGAAAAATTAAACATATAAAACTGACTCAAAATATGTTTTAAAAAATTATGTAGGCCATTTAGAATAACGTCACCGGCAATCTCTTACTAACAGTAGAAGTTATAGAATAAACGAACCCCGAGAAAACGTCATATGGGAAATATTTTTAAATATTAATTATCGATCTTCATAAGGGCCGCGAACATTTGAGGTTGCATAATTATGGTAGATTACTAACTAATTATTAGATTTTTGCTAAGAAGGCCATTCCTTTTTTGTATTGTTTAGTAAATTGTAAAGTTTCTATAACGCATTGATTACGTTACACATACTTATGACATGATGAAATTATTGTGTGCATCTCTTAAATGCTATTAATAACTAAAACAGAAATGCAAACAAGTGTTTCCCTTATGGTATTTTCTCAAGTAATTAAAAAATTAAACAGTATTTATTATATTGAATTCATAAATAATTAATGAAAAATTTAGTATGTATTTAAAAGGTAAAACAACGATAAAAGGGAAAATTATAACTTTAAGAATGAACAATAAGTAATAATATGTAGCGTATTATAAAAATAAATGTCAGTTATGCATATGCATATTCCTTCGTGATCATACCCATGCAGGGGCGGATCTTGGTTTTTCGGGCCTAAAGTCCAATGGGTCCCATTTTATGTTAATATAAATAATACTATAAATTATCATTATTATTGTATTATTAATATCAACTATTTTTTACTATACGATAAGTGCTCAATACTGTTAATGAAAAAGTATTAAAAATTTATGATGATAATTCAATTTTTGTGGGCCCTTGACACTTGGAGGCCGAGGGTTTAAGCCCTTTTAGTCCCTATGTAGATCCATCTCTGTACCCATGCACAGAATTTTTTTAAAAGGGTGGGATTTTAAAAAAAACACATTATTTTTTATAACGTAGTTTATTCATTTTTACAACTAACACTATACAATAGGGTAAGGAGGAACGGAACGAGTGAAAAATAAATATAAGTTATATACAATACTGCAAATTGTTTTATTAAGATAGTAAAATTTTACTGTAAGAATTAACAAATTCATTTTTAAAATTAGGCTTTACATCCTTCATAAACGTCTAGTGTTTGAAAGATGAGGTCTCCTTTCTTTTCACTACATTCTCCGATTATTCTTTGTCACATTTTCACTTCTACTTTAAATTCGTCTTCATTGATGCATTCAAGGACTGATTCATAATTTTTGTATACGGTCTGAATGTGACATCATTAAAATTTGTATGTCTTTGAGGTAACAGGCAATCAAAACTGCTAAGAATTTCCTCATGCTTAATAAATCTAAAGTTAATTTAATAACAATATAAACACTGCCACATGGTAATATTTTTGTGGCGATTCAACTTCAATATTGTTCCATGTTGCTGCTTATTACTTAATTAATCTTGAAATACTGAGAGTGAAGTGATCTTCTATAATATATTTACCTATTGAAATTAGAAGCAGCTAAAAGAATATTAATAATAATTAATAGAATATTTATATAACGAACATTAAAATATTCTTGTATTTTTTTACAGAAAAAAATCAGCTTTTTATAATCGTAAGTATTATAATAAAATTTTATTATCGTAAATACAGTGAAATAAGAAAAGCTATTCATTAATAAATTACCGTGTTTAATAATGATTTTAAATAATTATAAATATAAAATTTCTTATAATTTCTTTAAAATTATATCAAATATAATATAGCATGAATTAATATTTATTTCTATATGAGTTATATCTAATTATCAAATTATATGGAACACTAAACTAAAATGTTTTCATATACTGCATATGGATAACGATAGGCTATATTTTCAACGAGTATAAGTGTGAGGTACCGGACGGAAATCGAAATTATGTTTCGAATGATGAAAATCCGGTGAGTTAGTTAAGCTCTCGCCTTTCAGAATTAAACAAAGCAAGACTTAAAGTCTAGCTTAAACAATAAAAGTTCTTTCCAACAAAACGGAAAACAAACGGTTTGAATTGCGAGGGGATATCAAAGTCGAAGGAATTTTAGATGAACAGGAATCGGGTTAAGTCGCGAAATTGACCTCTCCCACGACCCGAAAGGTTTCAAATTGTCACCAGGTGACCAGGGGAGATCAATCGGAACGCGGAATCGAGGGAAAAACTGATAAAAACGCACGTTTCAAGGACGCGACGTTCTTTGTTCTTTGTTCCAAACCTTTTGTCATAAAAATCTGCTGTTCGAGCTTTCATCTATCTCCGAGAGACGTTCGATCTCACGGAGTTGTGCGTGCTCTTCAAGCTTCATTACCTGTGACTAAGACTATCCTTTTCCTAGCTACAGTGCGCCCCGGGACCGTCGATTCTGTCGACCTTAACCGAGGAATCGAGAAAGACACACTACGAAATATTCGGGACTTTATGGGACTCTATCCTTGTAAATTTGTGTCGATGGATACGTCGAAACGTTTGTAAGAAAACTTTTTATAGTCTCATTGAACGGATAAAGATGGTAAACTTGTCTCAGTTCTAATTTCATGCTCACACACGATTGTTTCAACTCCTTGACTGTCTCGACAATCGTACACAGTCGGCAAATGTACTCTTATATTTGATGAATTTATGTAGAATCTTGAATTATAATATATATATATATATATATATAAAACATATAATTTCTTCTCCACCATTTCATCTACATATAAATAAATAGATATGTTTTGTTGTTTTGAGAATGAAATTCATCCAAATGGTATAAAATTTTATAACTAGTTTTATTATTTCAAAGATTTCATTAATGCATACTATCCAATATTTTGAGATCTACTTTTAAATAGATAAAACTATAAAACTGTTTTAAGTATTCCAGCAGAATTTCAGTAAAGTTTCTATCAATTTACAACAAAATATAAAAATAATGATCATTTTATAGTTTTAAAGATAAATGAAAAATTTGATTCATTCGAATAATTAAAAAAATTATGTGATTATTTTATTAAAATTTTGTAACTCATATATAAATAAAATGCTTTATTTTAACATATAATTTAACAGAGTTTATGACAATAAGATAATAAAATTTGATATTTAAATATATTATTACTATACAAGTTTATTTTTTTCGTGTATTCACTGGTTATCAGTATCCTCCTTTTCCACCTCCACCACCTCCTCCGTAACCACCTCCAAGTCCACTGTATCCGCCTCCACCGCCACCTCCTTTACCTCCAAATCCACCTAGATCCACAAGAATAATTTCCTTGGATAAACCGCCACCACCACCTCCTTTACCACCACCTCCAAATCCTCCGTATCCTCCGCCACCTCCTCCTCCTTTACCTCCTCCGCCACCATATCCACCTCCTAAACTTCCATATCCACCAATATCAATTCCACCATAACCACCTCCACCTCCTCCTTTACCACCACCGCCGAAACCACCTCCCATTCCTCCATGCCCTCCAAGTCCAATTCCACCGTAGCCGCCGCCGCCGCCGCCACCTCCTTTTCCTCCACCGCCTCCTCCTCCGTAACCACCTCCGTGTCCACCAAGTTCAAGTCCACCATAGCCGCCACCTCCGCCTCCTTTTCCACCGCTGCTACTTCCATAAAGTTCAAGTATATCGTAACCACCACCTCCTTTACCACCGCCGCCTCCTCCAAGTCCACCATATCCTCCTCCGCCTCCCTTTCCACCACCGCCTCCATAACCACCACCACCGAATCCTCCTTTTCCGCCTCCTCCACCTCCACCACCTCCTTTTCCACCGCCTCCACCTCCAAAAAGTTCAAGTATATCGTAACCACCTCCTTTACCACCGCCGCCTCCTCCTCCTTTTCCACCGCCGCCTCCATATCCACCACCACCAAAACCACCTTTTCCTCCACCTCCACCTCCTCCTTTTCCACCACCCCCACCTCCAAGGAGTGCAAGTATATCGTAACCACCTCCTTTACCACCGCCGCCTCCTCCTCCTTTTCCACCACCTCCTCCATATCCACCACCGCCTCCATATCCACCACCACCAAAACCACCTTTTCCTCCACCTCCACCTCCTCCTTTTCCACCACCGCCACCTCCAAAGAGTTCAAGTATATCGTAACCACCTCCTTTACCACCGCCGCCTCCTCCTCCTTTTCCACCGCCGCCTCCATATCCACCACCACCAAAACCACCTTTTCCTCCACCTCCACCTCCTCCTTTTCCACCACCGCCACCTCCAAAGAGTTCAAGTATATCGTAACCACCTCCTTTACCACCGCCGCCGCCTCCTCCTCCTCCTCCTTTTCCACCGCCGCCTCCATAACCACCACCACCAAAACCACCTTTTCCTCCACCTCCACCTCCTAAGCCTCCTTTTCCACCACCCCCACCTCCAAGGAGTGCAAGTATATCGTAACCACCTCCTTTACCACCGCCTCCTCCTCCTCCAAGTCCTCCATATCCTCCTCCTCCTCCTTTTCCACCACCGCCTCCATAACCACCACCACCAAATCCTCCTTTTCCGCCTCCTCCACCTCCACCACCTCCTTTTCCACCGCCGCCACCTCCAAAAAGTTCAAGTATATCGTAACCACCTCCTTTACCACCGCCTCCACCTCCAAGACCACCATATCCTCCTCCGCCTCCTTTTCCACCTCCTCCGCCTCCGAAGCCTCCTTTACCACCTCCGCCGCCTCCGTATCCTCCTCCTCCTCCACCGCCTCCTTTTCCAAAAGTGATTATGATACTTTTTCCACCTCCTCCGCCTCCAAATCCTCCTTTACCACCTCCTCCGCCTCCATAGCCTCCTCCACCTCCAAATCCACCTTTTCCACCTCCCCCACCGCCTCCATAGCCTCCGCCACCGCCACCTTTTCCTCCTCCACCACTTCCTCCTCCTCCTAATCCAAGACTCTTAATAAGAAAGCCAATATCATCCCCACCTATAGTGTCCGACGTTTTCAAATCAGTATCTATTCTTTTATCGGCTACCACCAAACTCTTGTTCGCTTCTTTCGCATCGATTAAACCCAACACAATGAATAGTAACACAAAACACTTGGCCTACAGGAGTTACAATACAGAATTATATTACTTAACATTATTTGTCCTCACTGCGTCAATATTATTTATATAAGTATACTTACCATTTCCACAGCCACTCTTTCTTCTCGGATAAATTCCGAGTTTGGATATACATTATCACTCGCTCACAAAATCTCGTCTTATAAAGATAAAATTTTTCAACCACGTGACAATGTCGACCAATGAAACGAAGTTTTACTACGTCACTTGAATAAAGAAGCAAAATGAGCACTTTATTGTGGGTGCATTGGACGCTCCCACTGGTTAATGAGATGATTGGTCGATTAGATAACATCGTATTTGTAAACAGCATAGCAGCACATGCGTGACTAGTTTATATTTCTACTATTAGAAACAGAAAAAAATGAAATATACAGACAGATAAATTATTATCTTGGATATGCGTGCACTTCAGGAGAAAAGGTTTCTTTTCGATGCTCTAATTACGTTTCTTTCGATAGACGAAGAAGAAAAACAGAGAAAAAAAAGAATATTTGTTTAATTAAAAAAATAAATAAATTTTAATTATAATGTTAAAAATACATAAAATGATTAACTGCGAAAGAAAATCTTCGAGTGGACGAAAACCGAAATATCTAGCATAAAATATTTAAATTTTATCAAAGGATATAATACTTTATAAAATATATATCTGTATAGATGCTTCTTTTAACACGAAATTCAATGGAATATTTATGGGTCAAATGCCCACTTTATAGATCTAAAATTGTTCTAGAGCCATTTATAAAAGATATATTAAGTGATGAAGATACTAATAAAAAAATAAATAAATTTGATGACAACATATTTGGGTCGTCGATTCTCTTCCGTGGCACCTATTAATTTAAAAAAACTGATCAATAAAATTATAATTTTTCATGATTATTATTATTATCCAACCAATTTACTTTCTGGAATAAGAATTGAAAGAGAAATTTTCAAATTTTATTTAATTTTTTCCAGTGCTCACAAATGACTTTTTAATTCAAAATACCATTATCACATTAATATTTTAAGTAATTATAAAATGTTCATTAATTATAAGCAGACCGAAACAAATGGAAACTTCGAAATTTCTTTCGTTTTTTTTTTATTTATTTTTAATGACTATAATTTTCAAATATTTCATAATTCAACCATGCAGAAATCCTATCTTTTTCGACATATCTTAGATTAAAAAATAATATAAAAAAACCCCTCTATTGCAACGATCCTTATATTATATAGGCCTATATAAAAAAAACTAAAATTCCAGGTCTGAATTTTTTATTCTTTATCCATTTTTTATTTCTTGTAGAGATAAATAATTATTAAATCTATTTTTAGATCTTATAATCTTTCGTTAACACTCGACTTTTCCCGTTCCGTTTCGGTTCAATGACTAGACGAGAAGGTGTAAACAGCAGCAGAATTGAAGATTCACCCTATTTTTTTTGTTTTTTTTTTTATAAATCCTACTTGGTCTTTGAACCAAGTAGCCAGGAAATTCATACGGTAGAATTGATTAAATTTGATTGATTACGTTTCTAAAATTAAAACGTTCTTGGGAATATGTTAAATGAATCTTTAACATTCGTATCTGTTATAACGGATGAAACTATTTCGGTAGAGTTCGGTAATAGTTTTGTTTGTGACTCAATCCTGTAAAATATTTCTAATGACTGTGTTACCTATTAAGTCATTTTCATCGTAATTATTGATGCAATAAATTCAGATAACGTAAGAATAAGCATAAATCAAAGTAATAAGCTTAGTAACTTCTGTCTTCGTATTGGCTTTGGTAACGATTTAGTAATAAATTATTCCAAACAGAATTTAATTTCTCAACTAAAATACATAAAAAATAATTAAATTTCGTTACTTTTTTCACAGANTCTCAGTTTGAATAACACAAATTTGGATTGTAACGTCGTTATTAAATTAAATTTTATTCTTAAATAAATAATTTAATTTATAAAAAGAAAAATGACAGAAACATTTAAAAAATATAACAATTTCTTATAAATATTTAAAATTATTTCTAAAATAGGAAAAAAAACTATGAGATAAGAAATGACTATTTAGGAAAAAGAAATTAAACTTTCTTTATAATAATAGCAACTTTAACTTTTAAACATTAGCAAAGTTTAATGTTATATTATCTTATAATATCATCATCATCATCATCATCATCATTTGATGCGGCTTCCGCATTTACAAACGGGGGGGGTACGAAAAATTTTAAAAAACAACATTATTTACAATACAATGTGATATTTTTTTTATGTATAACTTGAAATTAGTAAAATTATTTTAACATATACTGTATAATAAAATTATATAATATCTTTTATTATCTTTTCATAAAATATTATAATTTGATTTCAGTTTATATTGAGAAATAGAGAATTAAATATTAATCGTCTATGTTAAAGAAGCTATAAAATCTCTTCATTTTAACGAATGCTAAAAATAGGCGTAATTACTAATGAAAAATAATTTTCTATTAATTTTGATTTAAAAATAATTTAACTCAATATTGGCGATAAAATAAAATAAAATAAAATAAATATTTCATTTAAGAAATCAGTCAAGTAATGAAATTTGACTTTCCTCAATGGAATTTTTTCAAGTGAAAATATGTTTTTCCTTACGAAATAAGTAATAAAAAATACAGTATATTGCTAACAAATAACACGAACTTTTACGAGTTTTTAAAAATCGATACATGTAAAAGTTAAATTATTAAAGATTTTATTATTTTTATGCTTTTATATATATTTATTTTTCTATAAATATTAACAAATGAAAAGAGATAATGGAAGAATCATTTCAAGATATTAAATTATTTATTTATATCTTAATACATCTATTGATATATTTCCAATTTTTCTATTTAATGTGTCTTTCCATATTTAAATAATGAAGGTAAAGAGCTTCCTTCTTTTTTATTATAAGTGTTACAATTTTGAAAATGGTGCCATATCAAACTGTTCCACTTTATTTTACTATATTATTCTTTGATAGGGTCAATAAAACAATATATAATAAAATTTGAAAAATATTAAATATTGTTTTTTGTATAATAATATATATTTTCATATATATTTCTCGTTAAATATAAACTCAAAAAACAATAAAACGTCAAAATTAATAATGATTCATGTATTTTCCGAATGTTTTTATTTTTGTTGGAATGAAGTTTTTAAAAGATAAGAAGAAAAATACATTAATCTTTCGAGGTGAAGAGAAAATATGCATTATATATTACAACGCAAAATACAATTTCTCAACTGTTCTTTTAAATAAATAAAAATGTAATTGCATAAAATGCATTTTTCTTTATATATTATATCGAAATTCACTGTGTGTGAAATAATAATAATAACAACAATAATAATAATACACTTAAAACATAATAAGAAACGTTCAAATTCAGACACAATCACAAAGAAGGAAAAAAATTATCTGATATTTGTTATATTGTCATACAGAAGCTTATTTCTGATTATCTTATGATTAATAAACGATTTTTTGGATATAATAGTAAATGAAGCGTAGTGATTATTCATTACGCTGAAATGAACAGGAAATAATACTGTAAATTTATAAGAAATTTCCCGTTATATTGAAAGAAAAAGTCATTTGATATAATTACAGTAGAGCATCGATTATCCGATCCCCCGATTAACCGTCACATCGGTTAACCGACCGTTCTAGTCGGCAAATTTCAAATGTCCGCTAGTGATGTGGCATTACAATATTTGGCTATATCTTGGCTACTTTAATATTATTTTTGTTAAATTTTTGCGTGTTTTAGCTGACATCAACGGCTCGACCATTGAAGGGAGGCCAGTATTTAAACGAGACTTAATTTTCTAATTATGAGTGGTTGTTTGTTTCGTGAGCAATAAAATAATTTTAAAATAATTTTTAACGATACAATAGCGACGATTATTATTTTTAAAAAAATTTGTTAGGCTAAACATCGATGAAAATTCAACGCGAAGTTGTTTAATAGCGATATACTAATAAACTAATTACATGGGATATACAGTACTAATATCCTAATATACTATACTAATAATGTATTTTTTTCCTTCTTTTCGGTTATCCGATTTTTTCAGTTATCCGACCAACCTGAGTCCCCAATTGAGTCGGATAATCGATGCTTTATTGTATTTTTAACTTGTATCTTTTTCATTGGAAAAAATTATAATAGTTTTATGTTAAATACATATTTACGTTTTTTATCATTAAATTTCATTAATTAATAGTGATAAATGGCCATACTTTTAGCGAGTAGAGGTGTTCAAGTATCTAGGCTCGACTCTGTGAGGTGGATAGGGAAGTGTGGCAAAGAATATCAGTCGTGTTTGTTTTGGCCTTAACCATTTTTTAACGCCACGTTTAGTACCCAGAAAAATAAGATCCAACTCTACATTACATTAGTGCATTCGATGATGATGTATGGATGCGAGACGTGGGCGACTTCATCAACTATGGAG